TCCAGCATCTTTTGAGAAGGATCGTATATATGAGTTCTACATGAGATCCGCAGTGTATTTTAGACAAAACTGACTTTCGATGTTGGGAGCCTTGTTGAGTGCATCCGCTGATCGTTAATAAAGAAAACTCAGGGTTTGTTCCTTGATGATAAATGATTCTACCTACGTTACATTTATTATTTACATAAGAGAATGCAGTGTGATTTTTTTTTATTCATTTCACCCCAAGTAAGGTAATCAAGCCAGTAAGATGCAAGGGGGGTATTGAATGTTAGAGAACATGGGAAAACAGTATTAATGAGAGAGAATAATAAATTAATAAGAATTAAGAATGGAGGGGATAATGATTGACATTGCAGTGTAAATTTCTGAAGATCAAATTTGACTTGGAAGAAGAAAAGACGATAGAGAATTTCAAAAGCGATAATTGTGATAGAACTTACAGTTACATCTAGCCATTTCCAATAATAGACTTATACCTTGATGCCAATCTAGTACTGCGCTTAAATTCAGAAAGTCTTGGTACTATAGAGGAAAGTTTATCAGAACAATTACGATGAAAGTATTTATATAAAAGTTACGGGGAAGCTAGACTACAGCGGTGAAAAAGTGAATGAAGGTGAAATGCCAGGTCAAGACTAATAATATTGAAATTTCTCATTGGAATTTATCAAGAATTTCTAAATATATACAGGAGCACCAGATTAGATGTGACAGCAATATTCAATGCAAGGTTGAATGGTAGACTTATAAATATGTAATATAGATTTTTCGAGAAAGATTATCTCGCACATTAACGGCTGACCTGGCAATTGATTCAATATAATTTTTCTACTTCATTTCTGCCGACAACTTTAGTCCGGTGAGTCGCATTGAATTACTTTCCTTGGGGTTAGCATCAGCCATACTGATTGAAGTTGTAAAGAATTCTCTCAGAGTGTCTTTTCATTTGGGAGGATTTAAAATTAACAAGACATTCCTTGCTTCACTTCACAAGAGAAAGTAGTTTGGATTAGCTTCAAATTTGAACTCATTTAACTGCTCAGACATATTTAATAGTATGTTAATGCCGGAAATAACACATAGTGAGAATATCAATCAAAACATTTAGTCTGAGAGAAATTGCTATGGGGTAATGCAGATATGTTTTGGGAGCACAACAGATGATAACAAAACTCAATTAATGTTACAACTGAGAACGTATTCACCTAGCAACAAGGTGCAGATTTGTGCCTTACAAGATGACAATGACATTCAACAACATGTGAACACTCAGTTGCATCGCATGACGAAGTTATAAATTCACCCCATCCAAACAGACAGACAGACCCTCAAATTCCCTCCCCGATAAACTTTGAATACATGACTCATGAGGCAGATTTTTTTCCCCACAGTATGTTGCCATTTTCTTTCTGCGGTAGACCAGTAGCCATTCAAGGCCATAGAACCCGTAACTGAAGCTAAAGTGGATTCATACCTTTCCCAAGGGTATTAGCACGTAAGTGAATGATTCGACTGGAATTCGAACCCGGCTCTCCGATTCCTCAATACGAGCCTCTATCCATTACTCCACCTGACGAATTCCAGAATTACACAATTAATACTTCTATAATTTGTTGTAAATATATGACTCAAAAACATTTCATGCCATTGTGAATCAGTATCTTGTGAAAAATCGACATATTCAGATGAATCGTTCGAATAAAACGAATTAAAAACATAACCGATTCCGATTTACGATGTTCTGGTGTTTATCAACTAACAACCCTTTTTTCTAGTTACACATGACCTGATTTAAAATTTGCACAATATTGAAAATTAAAAAAAAAAATGACGAAGACAGAGGTTGTAGTTACATTTTTTTTTTAAATTCCTATTTCTGGAATGAAGTTATTTGATGTACGCGAGGTTCAGCATAGTAAAGTCAGAATGCGAAGTTAATTAAGTGGGAAATAAGTGAAGCAAGTGGTAATTTCATTGAAGTCGACCTGTTAGAAACACTCCCTTTTAAAAGGCTGGGATTGGACAGTGATAGATCAATAGCTTGATTGACGGTAAATCTGCCTTTTACTTTTCTTTCTTTCTTTCTTTCTTTATTACTCAAAGGACATAAAAAGGGACAAGAACAGTGTGATAGAGAAAGGGGAGAAAATTCCAAATAGCAAAGGCGACGAAGAAAACGTTTTTAGTATCTTTTCGTTTCCTCGACGATATAAAACTTACTGACAAGATCTGGAAGATTTTATATGGTAAGCCTAAGACGCTTGAGATCATATCTTCTTAATATTTTATTATCGAAGTAGGAGAGACAAAATACTAGGATTTCTGTTTTATAATAACCTTTCTTTTGCAATGAATAATAAATTCAATTTTTAATAATAATTTTTATCATAAATATCAATTTTATAAATTATATATTCTTCTATAAAACTAACTTTTTGGGCAATTTTTTTGCGATCTTTTTCATCAACCATACGCATACACCTATGGCATTGCCTCTCACTGTTTTTTTTATGTAATTATTTATTTAATGATTCTACTTAAACACTAGTGACTATTGGCGTGGAAATCTCAGTATATTAGTTTTAAAATACTCAGGCGCACCAGCCTGGCACCAACAAATATACTGTGTTCAGATGTACTTATATTAACTTACTTGTACACTATTTACATTATTCGGACTATTGTCCTCATCTTTGTCGACATATTTATTACAACGTTTCGGCCGTGGTACGCTCAGGCCTTCTTGGGATGTCGAACCGAACACTTTCTTTCGCTTCTAGTTCCACGTCTCATGTTTTTAATGTCAATTATCAGTTATCTCCTGTTAATTCCCCTCTCCAAGTTCTCCACTGCCTGTATTGAACTCACACTCTTTGGGTCCTGTCACTGGATCTAACTCACGCCTTTATCCACTGTTCCATGTGTCCTTGAGGACATGTGTCTATGAATTTCTTGGTATTGTAAACCTAATGTCTTCAGAAACCATTTTTTATGAGTGCTAATATTGCAATTTTTTGCTGTTATCATCCATGTTTTACCAGAGCTCATATTGCAATTTTTTGTTATTATGGTTTTTCTCTGGCACTTCTTATAACTGGTCATATTGTATTCATTTCTATGCTTGGTCGGCTCAGAGGATTTTTGTGGTCTATCAGATGTGCTGATTCCTTAAGTTTACGAATTTCACAAAGGTGTTCTTTGTCTATGGTCTCAACCTCATCTTTGTCGCCATATTTATCACAACGTTTCGGCAGTTGTACGCTCCGGCCTTCTTCAGGTTGTTGGAATGTCAAACTGAACCCTTTATTTCGCTAACTAGTGCAGACCTTTCTAGTTCCACTTGCCATGTTTCATGGATGTCAGTTGTCAGTTATCCCCTGTTAATTCCCTTCTCAACTGCCTTAACCGGCTATTGAATTCGTACTCTTTGGGTCCTATCACTGAATCTAACTAACGCCTTTATCCAATGTGCCATGTGTCCTTGAATATAGACTGATATTAACTTTCTTTCCAATGATAATGCATGAAATGAAATTCAGCTGGTTACCATGGTCTACATCTATTTTTTGTGATGTCAACGAACATTCGTTGCCACTTTTGTGATGTCAACGAATACTCGTTGTTACTTTTGAAACGCTCGGTGTAATAGAGCCTTTGTAATCGTACATACAAGTATAGTACGCCGTTGAACAATACTGGTGCCAGACGCCTTCGAATAACACTCGCACAAATAGTACTTGCTCGATAATACTAGCTTGAGTAGTAATCCGTATAGAGAAATAGTATAGAGAATAGAGCAGAGAATAGCGGTTCGTATAGTAATAGAGGATAGACTAGAAATGGCGATCAATTAGACACACGCTACCTCCCATATACGCGTGTCCTCTATGGCCTACTTAATTAAATAATGGGATCGCCTGTGTTTGCTCACTGGCAATCTATGTTCGAACTCAGGTGTCGGCAGCGACACTTTATTCCTATATTTGATTTCTACGCCGTCATTGGATCATTAGAAATGTCCATAAAAATGAAATTATTCCCATATATTTAATTAGTCAGTAGGTGTATATATACATCTTTAAAACAGAACATTTAAATTAATTAAGCAACGAGGAGAATTTTCAACAAGAATCAATATATTATTTTTAATCTAATATTTAAAATTATTGAAATTCTGCCGCAAGAGTATAAGTTGATGAAATGAGAAATCACAATCTGCTAATATTATTGCGTTTTATTTTCATTAAATTATTCAGTAAATATTGTCTCATAATAAAACAGATTTTTTGTAAGACAATCTCATCGACTTATTTTCAGTATTTTCAATTGATTTCCCAGTATAATCTTTTAGGGTATCCAACATTAATAATGTTTCTTAATGCAACCGACATTTCACAAACAGCATACTTCCAATATTTAACCCTAATTTCCATTGGACAACCGCACGAATATCAACCATTGAGCCAAATAGCTTTCTGAACATGTATTTTCTGACTTTTACTTCTCCCAAAAATGCGCCCATCACCCACTTTAGATGATGTCGTGAGAGCAAATTCAATCGGATATTTGCAACACGCTTCTTCATGACAGTGTCGTGATTCACTATGAGATTGAGATCGTGCCTACTTCCTGCTGAAGTATCAAATTAATTTATTCCAAGTAGTAATCAAACTCGACAAGAAATATTTTCGCTTCTCAAAAGTTCGCTTAACTTGTATAACTCAAATTGCCAATAAAAACCTATGAAACATCATAGATGATTGTCAATAACATTAGGCTACTTCAAGAATAATATTTATATTGCTTTCAAAGCAAAACATCCAGAGGAAAACAAATTCAGTTTAAATATAAAACTTCATTTATATAAATAGATGCATCGTTTTCACGCTCAGTATCTTCAGACCGAGGAAATGATACTCCATTTTTTTACATGGATTTTCATGACGTCTGCAGACTTGGTTATCAATGTCATTCTCCTAGATTGCCTTATATCAAAGGTTATTTTTCTTCTTCTTCCTCCTCCTCTTCTTCTTCTTGTCTTTCTTTCTTTCTTTCTTTCTTTCTTTCTTTCTTTCTTTTGTAATTCTTGTTCTTTCTTTCTAGTTCTTGTTCTTCTTTCTTTCTTTATTTCTTTTGTTGTTGTTGTTCTTCTTCTTCTTCTTCCTCCTCCTCTTCTCGTTCTTGTTCTTGTCTTTCTTTCTTTCTTTCTTTCTTTCTTTTGTAATTCTTGTTCTTTCTTTCTAGTTCTTGTTCTTCTTTCTTTATTTATTTCTTTTGTTGCTGTTGTTGTTGTTCTTCTTCTTCCTCCTCCTCTTCTCGTTCTTGTTCTTGTCTTTCTTTATTTATTTCTTTCTTTCTTTCTTTCTTTCTTTCTTTATTTATTTCTTTTGTAGTTCTTGTTCTTTCTTTCTTTTGTAGTTCTTGTTCTTTATTTATTTATTTATTTTGTTGTTGTTGTTGTTGTTGTTGTTGTTCTTTTTCTTCTTCTTCTTCTTCTTCTTCTTCTTCTTCTTCTTCTATGCGCGCTCTCTCTTCCGGAAGTTGGTGATCATGATTCCTTATCTTTTTTTCTATTTCTCCTAAACTCTGTTCTGCCATCCACTTACTCAAGCCCGCTCGGTAGGAGGTTATGCGTTGTTTTCCTCTGTTCCTCTTGCCTTCAAAATATCCTGTGAGTATCAAATTTTCCAAGCACTTTCTCCTCATTATCTGTATAGAAATTCCAAATATGCCTTCCTGATGTTAATTTTAAGTGTCCTTTTTGTTTTCCGCACCGATAACCGTTAACCTACTAACACAATTCATTTAATAGAAACATCGAATACTGTAAGCAACGAATCCGAAATCATTTTCTGATTTAAATAAACCATAAACAGTAGAAAACAAATAAATCAAAATAATCTTATTTTATTCTTGTAGAACATAGAATAAACGCAGCTGAGAATTACGTATATAATTCCACCCTTTTTTTGACGCCGCTGATATATTAACTTTTTTACTAATGATAATCCCATGTTATCTCATTCCGTAGAATTTGAACTGGAACATGTTTCAGTTTCTGTAATTAATTGAAAATACAATGTATCCACCATCATAAAAGCCGCCTATTCATATCTTGTTCAGTGTGAGAAAGTTTGATGAATTTCCAAACTCAGGCCTGACTATTGCATTTAGCATGAAACAGACTGTTGCCTCTAAGTGTTGACTTCTATGTTCACTTTTATATATAAATATATATATATATATATATATATATATATATATATATATATATATATATATAGGCAGCATATCTTCATTCAAGCATGCATGGTTGAATAATTTAGACATATTATGTCTATTATTTTTATTTTAATCCTCTTCTATTCATGAATATTTTTAATGCTCTAATTAAACAGTTTGATTAAGACACCGGAGATGTTTTTTATTCTTTTAATTTTCCCAAGTGCTTTCAATCTCATCCGAGCTCATCTTCGGGGTGTGGGGATTGCTGTACAAAGAATTATTGCAATTGAGATTCATGAAATTCCTTTGTATATGCATTAACACACTCTGTTAATTCAAAAATTAACGTCCATGTAAATAGCATTATTTTTTTTCTTCGGAATCCACCCCTGATGATCTTGGATGAGATTGATGATACTTGGGGGTGGGGAGTATAAGAACAATTAGGGCGTCTTACTCAATCAGTTTAATTGCAGCATTAAAATAGAGATCCGTGAATATGAGCGGATTAAAATAAAAATAGACATTATATGTCTAAATTATTTAACCATATATTTAACTATGTTTAAATAAACACAAATTGAAACCTTATAGAACAAATACTTCTATTGGAACAAGACAATCATATTAATTCACAGCTATGTTTAAAAGAATTCCTTAAAGCCGAATCTATTAAAAACCGTTATCATGAATTCCGAATGGAATTATAAACATTCCTTTAATAAAAGCAGCCTCACAAAAAAAAAAAAAAATACATCAGTATTGTAATCCAAAAAGATGATAGGACTAAATGTTTCGTCATCAATATTAAACCCACTATTCTAAAGATTATTATTAGCATGTACCACTGAAATAATTTTTCACGACCTCTAGGTAATATATAAAAACACAAATAGACGGTATTGCGATGGGATCTTATTTAGGCTCCCTTTTTCTAATTATTATATGGCGCATTTAGAAAGTAAAATACATAATGACACTAATAACCCCTTATATATGTAAGATACATAGATGCCATTTTCGTTTTAGCTAAAAGTATTGATAAAATTACACAGCTTAAGATCAAATTTAAAAGTCACTCCGTTCTCAAATTTACATAAGAACTTATTATTAATAAAATTCCATTCCTTGATGGTTCCTTGACTCCAGCACACATAAATCTACTACTTCTTTATATAAGAAAACCTACAAGCAATAATTCCATCTTTTTTTAATTACATTAGTTAATGCCCCCAACGATATAAGTTACAAAAACCTTAATCTAACGCACACAAATATCTTCTTCTAAAACCATATTCTATAAAAAAATTACATAACATTCAACAAACATTCGTTAATAATGGATTTCCTAATTCCGTCACTGATCAACAAATTAAAATGTATCGCAATAAACTTAATAAGACCTCTAACAAAATTGATAATATTAATAATAACATAAACATGACTATTAACTTATACTATTGTAACCAAATGCATAATAATTACAAATATGATGAAACAACACTCAAAAACATAATAAGTAGAAATGTTAAACCCATTAATAATAATAAACAAGTTAAGCTCATCATATATTATAAAAAAATTAAAACGCTTGACCTCATGGTCTCTAATGACCCTACAACCACACAACAAAATACTCTAAAAAACAACCCAATATAGTGTATTAATTTATATGCCTGTTCAGAAATTGTATCTCTGATGCTAATAATAAACCCGTTTCATATATTGGTTTTACTACAACGACATTCTCCCGAAGACATACCTGTCACCTCCCTGATCTTAGTTATATTAAACATTTCTTAGAAAAACATAGCCATGTACATAATATTAGACAGATATTAGTTGACAACACAATAATACCCACCGATACACACAGTAAAAAGAAACTTCAGATATTGGAGGTCATCTACATTAAGAGGAAACAACGCACACTCAAGAAAATTATATTTCAAACTTGTCAAAACACATTACATTGCATTTCGACATTGGTTCTGTTGAGATACTTCGGTCTATCGCGTGGTATGGCGTCATAGAACCGCATGTTGGAATCACGTTCTGCGTCTGATATTCAGTAGCGTTATCGCCGCATAGACATTTTCTATGTCAAAATAACAAAATATCATATTTCACGGTAGATATCTTTGTTTTGTGTCTGTATAAACAATCTGACGATGGCTACTGTGAACCGAAAGCATTTCTTAATAATATAGCGCCACTGGCGAGTTTTGATAAAAAGAAACACACCATATGTATTCGTTCTGGGCCTTTAGATATAGAGAAATGCGGGACCTCATGTTAGGTGTAAAATTATCGCTTAAATTCCTAATCTGCCATCTCTGATTCACGTGTGCCATACGGGATCTTGTACATAGTTTTGCTGGAATACGCATCTTCTGTGTCACTTTATCGGTAAAAGACTTGGCAACCAAAAACGTCCATGTGAGAGGAACATGACATCTAGTATAATCTAGAAAAGCATTTCGTTCAGCAAACATTTGAATCACAATATACGGTCCAGGAAATGAATCTGATGTCGTTTGATAGTGAACTAAGAGATTGCTTTCCTCGTCATGCAACTTTATTTAATTTTAAGATTCGAAGCTGCCACATTATATTCTGCATAGTTTTGAATGTGAAATGTGAATGTTAGAATTTGGCACTTGCCGCGTAACATTATGTTAGGTAGTCCTCGATTTATGTTACAATAAAAGTAGGTTCACAAATACCGTACGCGGCTCTGTATTCATTCTTCAAACACTGTCTAAGGATCAATAAGTTTTTCATAGCATATTTCCTCGTCATGAAATCCAAACTTTCTAAATATGATTTCTATCGATATTCGATTGCTGCTCATGTCACGAATATATTGGCAGTCAGTTTATCAATACAGATAAGGCAAAACTGAGACCAGTTGATATTTCCTCTACTTTGTCAAGTCTGGCATAAGGTCACAATGACTGTGCACTCTCTGAAGACCGAAGACTACGCATTAAAACTTAAAGATAATTTATTCGTATTATTTTATTTACCCATGTTTTGTTGAAAGACCACCGACCTTCTGCATTCTCTATAACTGTATTATTAATCCATGTTCTCATGTAATTAAACCTGTTCTACATTCAAACTTTTTTCCAGTGTTTTCTTTACATGTATTATTAACCAGAACTACGAGCGTTATTTGAACATTGTAACAATCTGGAGTTTATTTCCATTATTCCAAAGGCGAGATATTATAGCACCGATTCAGTAAACAACGTAGATTTGAAATGTCAAACAAATGAATTCATGTTCTCAATCCTACGGCATTGATGTTACCCATCCTGAATTGATCATGCATGCCTCACTGTGATTCAGATGTAATTTTTTCCAAAGATTATGTGATATCAGAAACAGAAATAATTTCATGGGGTCTCGGGATCTTCTTTATTTATTTTCATTTAATTACACTGCATAATTTGATCGTTGTAAAATAAAACTACTATAAAACTGCGAAATCAACAATAAGATAAAAAATAGTATATTGGCGTTGGTTAGATCCAGTGACAGGACCCCAAAAGTGTGAGATAAATACCCAGTTAAGGCAGTGGAGAACTTTCAGAGGGAAATTAGTAGGAGATAACTGACATCCATGAAAAACATGGCACGTGGAACTAGAACAGTCTACCCCAGTGAATGAAATAAAGAGTTCAGTTTGAAATTCCAACCACCTGAAGATGGCCGGAGCGTACAACGGCCGAAACGTTGTGATGAATATGGCGACAAAGATGAAGACATTAGTCAGAATAATGTAAATAATATACATAATACCTCATATCAAAAATATAGACAGACTCCGAAAAATAGCACCTTAGTAAATTATGAAAACATTCTTTTTATAACCTTGTTAAATATCAGGCTAAGAGAGACAAGCTAAATAATGAAACAATGCGTGTAAATGGTGTTTCATTAAGACGGATTATATATAAGGATGTTTCATTAAGAGCGATCAAAGTCAGCAGTAAATAAATCAGTATTATTTGTAAACATTTCTTTATTTATTTATTGGATCATGTTATTTAAGTCATGGCAATTATGTGTGAAAAATAATATTGCTAAAATACCCGCCAAATCTGAAAGAAAAAGAAAAAATTAAAACGCTTAAACTTATTGGGACACTCTTAGAAAACCA